GGTTCTCCAGAACTGGGCAGAACCGGTTGAATGCCACCACTGTCCCCAACCTTTGTGGCTTGGCCAGCTGGGGGGCAGAGAAAAGCGGAACCGGGCTGTGGCCCATTCGTAAGCAGGCCATAGGCAGCACACACATACACACACTCAACTTTTGTAAGCAGTGGGCCGGCACATGCGCAGCTTGATTCACATGGGTGGCAGGCCAGCACTTATGCACATGCAGGCAGTTCGACTGCAAGCCGAGCTGCATGCACATCGACGTGTGCATCAAATTGTGCAAGTCAAGTTATGCATGTGCATTGGGCCACTGCTCACATGAGTTGAGCTGCACGCATGTGTGTGTGTGCTGGCCTGTGGCCTGGTTGTGTATAGACCACAGCCCAGTAGTGGGCCATGGCTTGGGGAGTTCTGAGCTACACCCTTCACCAAACTGTATTGTCTTCAGACAGCCCTCATACTTAGCCTTGAAGCATAATTACTACAAGACACTGTAGATGGGGATGCTGTTGAAAACTACCCAGAAAATTCAACTAATATGGATACTGATACAGCAGCACAAGCAGAGATGGGTGTGCTATGGTATGCACATGTTACATTTTTATTTCATGAATTGTACTGCTTTCCAGTTTGATTCCAAGTGCAATTAAAGGTGCTGGCTGTTATCTATAAAGTCCTATATAGCATAGGGGCTGTTTGTTCGAAGGACTGTCCTTTTCCTATATTTGCCTGGCCAATTTGATCTTGCAGTGATAGTATGCTCCATATTCCCTTGACTAAACAATATCATTATCAAGACTTTGGAAGTGTGTTTTCTCTGTAATAACTCCTACTTTCTGGAATGAGGTCCTTCTCCCCATATCTGGAATATGTTGTTATCTGTTATCTGTTGTCCAAAGGCTCCTCATAAAAGCCTTTGGAAAGAGACCCTTTGCTTCGTTCCTTCTGATCTGATATGCAAAAGCCATCTTTTATAGGTTACTATAATTCCTTTGATTGCCGTAAGATTCTCAGGCATTGGGAGTCAGGCAGAATATGTTTTAAAAATTATTAATGTGTTTGGTTACACAATGTTTAGATTGGATTTGATATTTCGTCCCGCTTTTGGGTTCTTCCCAAGGACCTGGAATAGGCAGAAGTTTTTGTTTAATAATATTAAGGTATTACTATGGTTGGATACGGTCAGCCAGATGTTTAAGCTGGATTTGGCAATTTTTAATCTGCCTATTGAGTCCTTCTCAAGGACCTGAGTTAGGCAGGTGTTGTTTGATGATGTTAAAGGTATCATTAGAGAATGGAAACTGTCCCAAATAAAACTGCCTTTTGCAATTGACACAGTGATTTTGTCAATGTCAATAGTATTTAAGTGATGCTCCAGATGTTGAACAACAGCATTTACAAAATCACCACCAGTCATTATAATTATAAGTTATTATTATTTTAAAACTGTGTTCCTAAGAGCAGTTGAATTCTACAAGTCTGTGGATAGGACATGTATGGTGGGATCAAGTAAAAAATATAACCAGCAGGCATTTAATCAGGAAATTTTGTGAGTCTTCGTTGAAATTATCAATAAAATCCATAGTAGGCTTAAATCTAACTGGCTATTAACTGAAAGTTATCTAGGGAACAATAAGAAGTCAAAATATCCCTGCAACAATGGGCTAAGGCAGCCTGTATTTAAAATCTTCTGGATCCAGCTTTCTCTCCAGAGTTAAGCAACACAATTTATATTTATTGCCAAAGTTCCTTTCATCTGTGAACCAAAACTGGATGTTAGGCTTTGCCTAAGCAAAAGGCAATTCTAAATTTCTCATGTCATATGTAGGCTTCCTTATTTCATTTAAAAGTTAAATTCAGATTTGGGAAAGTCCTTGTTGCTATTTATTCTTTCTTGATCACTCTTTTCAAAGCCTGTTTCCACCTTTCTATAGATGTGTTCTATCAGACGAATCTTCCTCCGAGTTTGTGAATGTTCTTCTAGAATGTAGCCCTTAACTTTCTTGAGTAAACTTTTGTTGGGAATATTTTCTCTTAAATTTGGGACAGATTCAATTTCAGTTGTATTACTCCAAGTAGGTTACTTACGTCTGATGCAGAACAAATGGGTGTGTTCTCCTCTGTATTTGACTCTTAAGTCTATGAACTGTTACATATACCATAATTATATTTGCAGCTCATGTCTCTTGTTGAAAGTTATATAATAAATTGTACATCAATGTTTGAAAATTATTCATTTAAAAGGGATATGTATTTCACACAAGCTGAACTAAAATACAACAAAGATACAGTTTCCAATGTGCATGTAAGAGTTTAAATTTCCATCAGTAGCTAGTTCAGAAGCAGCAGCTAACAGAAGAAATATTACAAAATTAAGTGATGTCTATTTGCCTAAGAAAAATGACAATTTTGTTCATGTAGCTTTAAAATTACTTTATGTTTCTCTAACAGTACTGAATATGTAATAAAGAATGAGTAGCCCATTTAAAATGCAATGAGTGCACGTGTCATAACTCCAACATCAGTGAATAGATAAATTTTAAAATTCTTGGCTTTATTTCATCTAAGAACCTGAAAGCAGCAACAACAGAATAAACCTACAAGTTTACCCCAAAGAATTTAACAAGATTCACTCCAAAGTAAGTGATATAGAAGTGCAACCTTAATGAACTTCCTCAGTATAATTTTAGATGCAATACTGAATACTTTTACATTAATAGTATTGTCGATAGTATCACAGTACAAAAACTGCATTCCAAGCTCTGTTCATGATGCTATGACTGCCCTCCTTCTCAAAAAAAGCATCAAAAAGAACCCCTATCAGGAGAATAAAATATTGTTGTAATATTATTGTGGACAGCCAGAATTATCTCTATAGTGTAAATTAGAAAATAAAAATAAAAATGTTTATTTTCAGGAAACCCTATTGGTGGCAAATGTCCAGGCAGCTGTCCCAAGTTTACTGTTAAAGCAAGATTCATAATCCTTAGTAAGAAATCTAAACAATTCCATTTGCCTTATTTCAAACCATTTAAGGGAAAGCTATGGTTTATCCAGTAATAGGACTTTTGATAGATTATTCTCTTGCTTATCTTGCTTTTAAAAGTGTACATCTTGATAGGTATTACATTATAAATAAGCAATCTGATGGTTCCTTATTTCTATGGTGATTTGACTTTAAGCATGTATATGATAATTTAGCATGTGCAATAATATACCGTAGTTTCACAATCAAAATTAGATTAAGATGCTGTTTGCTAGTGTTCCTCCCTTTTTATTTTTGTAGGGTTATTTGAGGGAATACCTCTCCTGTTTCATCTATCTGTCCCATTATGTCTGACAGGACAAGCATGCTTTGGCTCCCGGTTGGATTCAGAACAAAAGTCTTTTTCTGTTGTGGCACTCACCCTTTGGAAATCATTCCTCGGAGATCAGAATGGCTATTGAATAATAGGCTATTGAATGAAAAGCCTACTAGCTTTCCATAAAGCCTTTATGGACATGATTTTGCTTGTGTGGGGGGATCTGGGTGTGTGGCAGAGGCTGTGCGGCAGAGGCTGTGCAGTACTGATGTTGCTTATTATTTATTTTTAAAATGTATTGGCCCTCCTCAAGGAAACTATTATTGGTGAATCTTCAGATACCTTGGCTATTGTTTTGTTACATGGATATCTAAATTGTTTCTATTATGATTGTATTTTTAAATATATAGTTTTAATTGCTGTGAGTCACCCAGAATAATTTGAAATGAGTAACAATATAACCTTGAAATAATAAAGGATTTACTTGCAGGGCAAAGGTCTGATCACAAGGTGCTTCAGTAAGTGCAATTGGTACAAAAATAAGCAACTTGGTATTTTCCTTGAGTTTAGAACTTTAAATTCACATTAAGCTATCATGGACCAAGAAGTCCAGTCTGCATTAGCAAATAAACTACAATGCCAGAGCATACCGCACCCATGCTCCTATAATTGATTTTGTGCCATACTAAAAATTCCTTTGCTATTACTGCACTGAAGATAGCAAAAGTATCATTATCCGTGCATTCCTAAAGTATTCAGACCTTCTTCATTTTTGTCAATTTTGTTATGCTGCAGTTGTTGAAATTCATTTTTCTCATTAATCTACACTCATTACCCCATAATGACAAAGTGAAAACAGAAATGTAAATTTATTGAAATGAAGAACTGAAATATCAGATTGGCATAAGTACCCTTTGCAACAACACTTGAAATTTAGCTCCGATGCATTTCTGATTGTTGTTGACATGTTTCCACACCTTGACTGAAGTCCACCTGTGATAAATTAAATTGATTGGACATAATTTGGAAAGGCACAAACCTCTCTATTGAAGGCTTCACAGTTAACAATGCATACTATAGCAGAGCAAAAGCCATGAGGTCAAAGGAACTGCCTGTGGTGCTCAGAGAAGATTATTGCAAGGCACAGATCTGGGAAGACTACAATAAAATTTCTGCTGTACTGAAGGTTCCTAAGACCACAGTGGCCTCCATAATTCTGAAATGGAAATTTGGCATGACCAGGACTCTTCCAAGAGCTGGCCACCTGGAAAAAATGAGCAATCAGGGAAGAAGGGCCTTAGTAAGAGACGTGATCTTGTGCGACTTCAGGCACCCATCTGCTTTTGCAGAGAATGGTTGCCTGATGTCGCGCGAGATCATGGCCACCAGAACATTTCACCTTCGGCGCAAAGCATTTGGAAGCTGACCGGATACTGGAAGGCAAATCATCCTGTTCTCCTTTCCCTCAAAGGCAAAGAAACCACAGCAGAGAGGAGACAGATCTTTGCAAGGTAAGTAAATCTGGCTAGCAGGATGAGGGGAGGGGGGGTTAGTGCCTCTGCGGTTGTTCATAAGGATGAACGACTGCCATGGTGCTGCAACATTTGTAACTGAGGAGCTTATCAAGTAACTTCAGTCACTAAGAGCACTATCGTTACCTCAGGGTTTACCTGCTTTTCAATTTTTTCTTTTTAATAAATTTACAGACATTTCTAAAATTCTGTTTTCACTTTGTAATTATGGGGTACTGAATAATTATGGGTTAGTCAAACATCAAAGGAAGGAATCAAACCTAATAGTATAGAAGGAAAGAAGCAAAATAATTGTCAAAAAGAAGTTCTTTCAGAAATTAGGGATAGAATGTTAGGAACTGTGAAGCTCGTACGTTCTTCCTCATGTGAGAAACTACGCACATATAGTATAACACACTAAAAGTATGATTTCCAGTCATATTCATTTTTATAGGTATTGTAATCAGTTTTAAATATTTGCAAAAACATATCAGGGCATTTCATAAGCAAGATTAATTAAAAACCAAACAAGAAAAACTTCACGGCTAAATTTACATTGCATTTCAAGGCTGCAATGCTATGCAAATTCAACTCAACTCAATGGAGTAGGTTTGAGCAAACATGCACTGGACTACACTATAAGCAAAAGAGCCATCTTTTCGTACTAGAAAACCAACAAAAAATCATCAAGAAAGAAGTGCCGCAGACTTATTAGTAACCAGTATAAAGTCTTAAAATCACTGTTCTAATTTTAATATCAAATTTGTGGTCACACTTGCTTGTGATTTTTGAAAGGTCTTAGAGCAAAAAATGCATTTTGGAAATAAATAAACCAAAGGAACTACTATTGGCATTTAACATGTCACATGAACAACAGAATCTATGGGAAATCATTCCTGATAAAATTATAATTTCATGAGCACCACTGGAAATAGGACCTTTGGGAATCAGATACATGGATTATTTTCATTAAAATATGTATATGGAAGCAGTCTCTTTTTAAATGATGAATTTACATTCTGGGAATGTCAAATTAGCTTCCCAAAGATGCTTTGCATATTCTGTATGGTGTCAATTATAGTGCAAATTTCTGGTTATGATTTGATTTTCTTTTGAAGAGATTAATTTAACATGGTGCCTAATGAAGCTTTTAAGGACTGTCAATCTTTTGAATTAGAGTATAATAACTTCATTTGCTAATTATATTTCTATTTTGGTTACTTCATTTATTTGAGATTTTACTTTATTTTCTATAATATCAAAACACATTTAAAAGTTACATATTAAACCAATATGCCACTGAAAAATAGAAATTATGTTTATAACAATTAGCTGTTTCCTTGACAAAAAAGGACAGTTTTTCTCTATAATACAAATGTTTATTACATATATGGGAACAAGAGGAGAAAAATATAGGGAAAGAGCAGTATATTCTCAAATAATTTCTTTGCTATTATAATAATTAGTGATTAGGCTATTAATTTCATTCACTTACGTTATCAACTTTAGCCTCATAAGGAAAACAATCATAACAAGCAAAGAGACTCACAACTGATCCTGTTTTCAATATGTTGGTGGATAGAGGTAAATTACAATTTCTCAGCCAGAAAATGGAACAGCTACAAATTCAGTAGTTCTCAAAATGGCACTGACTCATGTGTTATGTTTACTACCATAATTTGGAATACCACTAGCAGTAACTTTCTGCCAACAGAACATAACTACCTTGTCTGGAGATCCCTTCTATCTAAGAGGCACCTTTGTCTCATTCTACTTTTTCCTCAACTAGTAGATCTGAGTTATGCCAAGCCTGTCTTACTCATGAGATGCTATGTCCAAAGATAATAAAGTATGACATACTTTTATGCTATTTAAATTTTTTAAAAGATACAGCTTTTACATAGTTCCAAGGTATCTTTTTATATGATAGTGATATGTAGCTAGTACTATTCTAAGATTTAAACTTAAACCGCATAACGTATTTTTGGCCATTTGTAAAAATCAAGAATGAAATCAAACAGTTATCTTATTAGAGCTACTGTCCCAATGTAAAAAACACAATTATATTCCACTGTTGCATTATTTCCAGTGAGCAAACACAAATCTGGGGCATTGTATACATTATACTGATTATCTCGATTCTTAATGCTGTTATATTTGGCAACAGTAATTCAGTGAAAGTGAATCCACCAGACTGTCAATACAGTATGCAACAATAATGCATTTGTAATTTTAAGACTTAAGTTGACCAAAAGCAAAAGTGGTAGTGCCACTATAAATTTCCAAATTGTAAATTTGTAATTCTCAAAATTTATTGCAATAAAAGTGTATTGACTTCATAATATTAATGAAATTTCTGTGACTTTCATATATTTCATATTATTATAGAAGCATAATTTTAGGGAACGACTAATTCACATTATTGAAAATTCAAACTTTTCTTGAATTAAAGAATGTCATTTTCTACATAAAATATTAATTTAGCACAATATAACTAACATATTCTTTAGATTTTGAAGGCTTTTTAAAAGAAAAAAAAAGATCAATGGTTGCATTATATCAACTTGTTAGAGAGTAGATCCTAAAAACGTATTTTTAGTTTGGACAAAAATATTTTTATGAGGCCATTTCAAATTATGGAAACTAGCTAGCCCAGAGTTTTAAAAAAATCCAAATATCTCGATGCCAGTATTCAATATTGATCTCAATGAAACTTAATCCAAGTTAAATGCATATACGATTGCAGCCTAAAGAATCTTGGAACCTAAACCTTACTGGTCAGTTATTTGAGATAAGCAAAAGTGTTTTGTTCTTAAAGTTGCTCAACATGTTTTAGATAACAACTATGAACTGAATATTCACAGCAAGCAAATCATCAACAAAGTATTTTTATATATCACTTTCTACCCAAAACACCAGAAGCATTACAAAAATGACAATTCAAACATTTGCTTCATTTTTGCACCATATATTGCCACACTTAAAAAGCATCCTTAAATCTTACTCTTCAGCCTTCAGAGCATGCCAGTCCACCTTCTGAAGTAATAAGAATTTAGAAGAGCAAATATTAATTTGTTTAACCTGTCACAACAGCATCTACAATTTTCTTTCTACCTAAATATTAAATATGAAATTGCATAACCTAATTCATTTCATTTTATTTAACTGTCTACATTATTCTGTGAGTGCGTGCGCATGCACCATCACACACAGAAACAGTGGTATCTACATACAGTTTTACACAAATATTTACATACATATATTATACACAAACTAATGTGATTCCATGATTTTTTAGTAGAAAGGCATATGCTTTTGTAGCATATAATTGTTGCACTAGTTTTACAAGAGCATTATAAACCTTTTGCAACAATTGGTTAAAGCACAATTCAACCAGAATATTATAGATTGTATATAAAAAATACAATACCTAGAATGCTTATCAAACAAATAATGCTTTATTGGCATCTAAAAAAACATTTAAAACGTATGTAATTTTTTAATTCATTGCAGTACGAGGAGGACAGATCATGGACACTTGTTTGAGAAACAGAGACTATAATGCAGAAATTTCAAAAACACACCATCTCTGTGTTATTTATGCTCCTTTTCTGGGCCAAACTGAGGGAACATTTAGTATCACAGCTCTGCCTATGTTTTAAAAATTTGCAGCAGCCTAGAAATCTGGGTAAGATATACCAGCGCCTGTTTTCAAGTATAACAATTTCTATGGCCAACCTAATAGCATCTAAAAAAAAAATCAAGTTCTTCCATAGGAAGTTTTTTTCTTTGTTTGACAAGCTGTAATTTATCCTTCTGAAGTAAAAGCAAGTTGGGAAAGTTTGCACTTTGTCAGGGGAAAAAGAAAAGAAAAAAAAGAAAAGAAAGACAAACTTTACCTACCATGTTCAAATTAAAAACAATATTCTATACAGGTCAGTTGTACAACTATTTAAGTGAAAGATGAACATGAATATTAGATTAACTTAATTCTGGAAGAAAAAAAATGAACTACTAAGGTCCAGTCAGCCATTCATCTATTACAGAGAGAGATGACAACTTTACAAAAGGTATCTTTTTACCTACTGAGTGATGATTATGTCCCCTCAGTTTCTGTGCTTTCTACCACTGGTTCATTTTCTAATTCAGCTTCTGTGTCACTCTTCTCTTTTTTTGTCTCATTTGAAGTCGCCAATTTTTCATAAAGTTCCAATTCCTCCTGCACTTGCACAGCAGATGGCTGATTCTCTGTCTCTGTGTTTTCACCATTAACTTGGGGTACACTATCAACTTTTTGTTGAGAAGGACCACCTTCAAAATATTCAAACACTCTTGGATGTGGAGGGGGTATCCAGTTGTTCTGTGTTCTCTCTCTCCCAAATCTGTTTCCATTAATTTCTCTACCAAAATTAAAATCTCTATCATCCCTGTCCCTTTGTCTTTCCCATGGCCTACGACGGTCATCAAAGTCTCTGTGAGCATCTTGTTCAAGTCCTCTGTTCCAGGTAGGACCACTTCGAGTTTCAAATCTGTAATTTGTTTGCCGATATCTCTCTCGAGCTTCCTGGAACCCCCTTAGACCACCATATACAGGAAAGGTCTGGTGTTCTCTTTCATCATAATCTCCTCTTTGACCCCAGTGTTTTTCTGAGTTGAAAGCAAAATGCTCTCTCCTTAGATTATCGATACCTGGCCGTCCAAAGTTCTCCCGTAAATCTATATGTGGCCTGATAAGATGTTCTCTTCCGTCTACAGGAGGTCGGCCTAGACCTTCTCTTGGATCTAGTGGTGGCCTTCCAATAGAATCCCTTATATCTACTGAAGATGCTCGATCTCTACTTTCCAATGGAGGGAAGCGATAGTCTCTATCTCCTTCTTGTTGAATGCTATCTTCCCCGACAGGCAATCTTTTATCTGGGTTAGAAATATCCATATTTTGCCTACTAGAAGTTGCAAATGGTCTCTCTGTTTGAGTAAAAATATCTCCTGGAAGGAAAGGAACTCTAGGTGGAGGAAGGGATGGATCAAGTATAGCTGGAGGAGGAACTGTACGTTGTGGTGGTATCCCAGGTTGCAGTAGTGGAAACCTAGGACCAGGTGGTTGTGGTATTAATCCCGATCGGATTTCTACTAGAGGAATTCCAGGCAACCGTTGACTAGACATAGTTAAATGGGATAAATTTTGAATTCCAGTGGGTGGTTGTAGTCCTAATAGTCCAGAACCACCTGAAATATTTGGTGGCGGTAATCCTAATAGTCCAGAACTACTTGAAACCATTGGTGGTGGCAATCCTAAAATTGCAGAATTGCTTGATACAATGGGTGGTTGGAGTGCTGTCAAAAGCCCAGAATTACTTGATACAATGGGTGGCTGGATTCCTGACAAACGTCCAGTATTATTTGAGACTATGGGTGGTTGGATTCCCATTAAAAGGCTGGAGCTGCTTGAAACATTTATGGGCTGAAGTCCTGTCAAAAGCCCAGAGCTACTTGAAACACTTGGAGCCTGAACACCTGTTATAAGATTGGAGCTATTTGAAGCAGTGGGTGGTTGAACTCTTGTCAAAAGTCCAGAGCTGCTTGAGACACTGACTGGCTGCACAAGTCCAGCACTACTTGAGACATGGGGTGGCTGGGTTCCCCCTACATGCCCAGAACTGGTTGTGATACCAGGTGGCTGTACTCCCTCGGTAAGTCCAGAACTGCTTGAAACGTCATCCTGAACTGAAATACAAAAACTTAAATCAGAGAACTGAAACAACCATGAATAACTAATACTTTAATAGTTTAATTATAGAGTAAGATTAAACTAAATTCAACATCTACATATTGGATTCGCATTATAATCTGCAACAATATCTATTTAAGGAAAAGTAAACAGTATCTCTTACTGAAGAGTAGCTTACAAAATAAACATTTAGAAAAATTGTAAGCTTTTAAAATATTTTATCTAGAGAAGTAAAAAAAAGAAGTAAAAAAAAAAGAACTACTAGGATTTGGCATTATCTTTTCCCATCTTCCTGTATATCTGAGTGAATAGAAACTATAAAAATCATGTTAAAAGCTTTTTAATTATTTGTATATTAATATTAATACAATTCAGATTAAATGAACAAAAAAGTATTGTGGCAATATAGTGATGAGTGAATAACAGATCTTATTGAAAACAGACCACTGTTGGAAAAAACAGAAATTATATTGAAACTGGGCTAATAAACAACTCCAGTTATGCCGATCCTATTTCCTATCTTCTAGTATAAATGTATGTATGTATGTATGTATCTTTATTTAGCTCTTAGAAAAAAGTTCAATACTCTCCCCAAAATGGCATCTGATACAGGACTAGAATTCTTGAAAGTTATGACATTCCTATATTATGCAAGCATGTATGTGTGTGTATGTGCATATGCATTTGTCCATGTACATACATATATACATGCACATGCAAGCACACATATAACCCTTCCAAAAGGTTTTATAATGCTATTTACCAGTTCTGTTTTCAGTAGAAGAGATCTGAAGATCAGCACGAAGAGATCCTTTTTCATCTAATTCTGAACTGTTCTTTGAAAGAGAAGGAAAGACACTTCCGGCAGATAATGTTGGTGTTGTAAGACTACTAGAAACACTACCACCTGGTAGAACAAGGCTGCTAAAATCTTTCATTGATTCTTGAGCAAGGGTCATTGACTGCTGTACAAGAGCTGTAAATCAATACATATGCACATTAATGCTTGTGCAAATCTGTGTATGTCTTTCTAAAAGAAACCACCAGTATGTTAATTAAACTCTGAAACATCTTTTTACTTACTATATAAAAAAGTAACCACAAATAAATTAAATATATAATGTTTAAAAAATCCAGACTGAAGAAAGCTATTAGAAAACTCATCAAAATTATACAGTTGAATTATAACTAAAATAATCCAATCTAATCATTACTCATCAATAACAATAAGTACAATCTATTACCTTTTAACTTGGGGCAATTAATACAAATAGTGCAGCTTTCAAAACAGCATGAGTCTCTTGGGATCAGACAGAAGATGGTTCAGTTATGTGCCTTTCTTTCTGCCTGATATTAATTGTTGTTTTAAGAAAGAATTAAATTGAGAGTTCATAGAATAGTTGGATGATACTCTGTTTATTTCATTTTATGGGCAAAAATGCCAAAACCTGTCTGTAGGAGGCACTACTGTGCTTTAAGCACAAGTAATATTAAGTTGACACAAGTGCAAAGACTTGAAGATGTAAGTCCCACTCTGTGGGAATGCAAAAACAAAGCTTAGATCGTCATGATTTAAGCTTCTTTTTTATACCACACCAGAGGAATTCCTTTACACGAAAGGAGAGCTGACATCTACAAGGGGTGCAGAAATAAGAGCTTAGATCTTCATGATTTAAGCTTTTTTTTCTGCATCCCATGAAAAGATGTCAGCTCCCCTTAGCCTGCAGCTCTTTCAGCCACCGCCTGCAGTCCTCAGCAGGCAGTGGCAGGCTTTCTGAGCAAGCCAACATAGAAGATTGCAAATGGCAATCACATGATTACAGGGTGCTTGACTACTAGTTGTAACAACTCACTTAATGACTGCATTGCTTTGTGACAGAAGTTCCAATCCAAAATGTAGTTGTGAGTCAATGACTTGCTGTACAAAGAAATGATATCTACATGCAAAAATCATTCTGGAGCCCTATATTCTCCTATATTAACCCTAACCCTAATTGGAAGTTTTGCTAGGAAAACATTTTGCACAGGACTGTTTATATAGTTTTTGATTAATGCCTGTACAGGTGCAATCCTACTTAACACAGGTAAACTTGGCCACTTATTTAAGAATAGCAGGAATTCAGTTCTAAGCTTTATATTATTATTTATAAAAATAAATCCAATGTTAGCCAATTCAACCAAACTGCTTTTTTCAACAATGAGAGTTTTATTGTAATCCTATGAAGAAAAATTAAAACAGCTTACATGTTGGAACTACTGGTGGCGGAACAGGTGGCGGAACAGGTGGAGGCATGAAACCTAGAAGAAACAAAGAATAAATCTTAATAGACAAATAAACTTAAGAGAAATAAATAACAATGCCAATACATTTTGATATATATCATAGAATGGAAAGATAACTTTACCAGGAGGTGGTTGTGAAGGATTAAAGCTTGCTCTCAAGAATGGAGGCGGAGGAATTCCACTGTAACCAGGTGGAGGGACAGACATTGTAACAGGAAATGCAGGTGGAACTAAATTAACAGCCGGCACAGTTGGAGCTACAGGCATCTGTTATAATGGGAAAATATTCCTGGTGAACTTTAATCCATATACATTTATGAGAAGGACATTTTAAAATTGCACCTCTGGAAATTGGCCTCTTTGGGCTATTTTGCTGTTAAAATTTCAGCTGTGGAATGAAGGAGGTACCCTGGGAGCCCCAAAATAAGGACATTTATAGCTTGCAAGTTGTTACAGAAATGCATGTAGGAAGGGCAATGTAGTATTACTTCTGTCTTTTTAATGTAGAAGTACTTCTGCCTCTTTTCAGTCTTTTAATAGTTAACCAACAAATGGACTTCTAAAAAGTCCAGATAACTAGTTTTCATTTTCTTTCCAAATTCTCTCTCTCCTATCAGTGAAACTGAACACTTGCCAGTTAATTCCCAAAATAACTCTGGGTCAATTTAAATTTAATTTATCACATTTTTAAACCATTCATCTCCTTCACAGAATGATTTACTATATAGGGGAAGAAAATCATATATATATATATATTTGTTTGGGGGGGGGGGGGCTACTTGTTGAGATAATTTTGTACTACGTAATTTTTGGGAGCCTCCTTAGGAAGCAACCAACATGGGATGTTCCTGAGATGTTTGAGTGGAGTTCTTTATTCTATGTGTGAAACCAATGTATTTTCTGTTTCGTGCACACTTAACTTCAGAGTTTTTCACAGTAAAAGGAAAAAAAATGTCTCAACAAGTTGCAAATATCTGAAACATTGAAAAGGTATAAGATATGATAAGCATCTGATACAAAAGTAGAGTTGACAATCTAATCAATAATCTGAATGTTCTTCATTACTGGAAGAAAAGTGTGGTCAGAAAATAAAGTACAATACTAACCTGTAGCATACTGACAGACTGTGTGTAAGTTTCTGCCTGTGTTGTGACAACTGTGGTTTTGTCAATGGTTGCACTCTGGGTTACCTGCACACTCTCTTTTACGGTCTCTGAAGTCCTTGTAGTTTCCCATTCTACAGAAACAATAGACTAGTGTTTTGAAAAGCACATTAGAAGATAATAAGCATTTGTTCTACTAGCTACGATACCTACATTTTCGCAATGAATGGAGATTGAAAAATATTATTAAAAAAAAACTATATAAATGGCACATTCCAGATTGTTTTATGTTGAGCAAGTTTTTGGGGGGTGGGTGGGGGTGGTATCTTATGGTTCTTGAAATTTACAATTTACAACCTTGGATTAACGTTTGCTCTGTTTCCAAGAGTGTAGTAGAAAGACTGATCAATATTACTGTGTTTAGTGTTTAAAAACTACATTGTTTTTAATATGTATTATTAGACAATATTTGGATCTAAAGCACCTCTGGGAGATTCAGATCTGAGTATTTCATAATATATTTTTGTTTTATTTGTATGATTTTCCTGTTTCTTTCTGCACATCAAATTAAACCAAACCAAACCAAACCAAATCAAACCCCCCCGTTTTCGGCAAAGCATTATTTTGTAAGTAGCAATTGATTTCTCCTATTTACAAATTCTCTACAGTTTTGGACTAAGACTATATCTACACTAAATCTTAAATATTGTGATATATATTTATTTAATTAGTAAATAAATTTCCTTTGGAAACAAATTAGTAAATAAGTATATTTACTAAATAAGTACCGTAAGCAAATAAGTTTATTTATTTAAATAAATAAGTAAATAAATTTCCTTTGGAAACTAGGATATATCCCAGTTGAAGAGGGAGATTTTCTAGAGATGTCACAATGTGGAACTCTGTAATTCAGCTTGACTGCCAACAGTCAGCCTACTTCTTAAATAGCCTGAGAGGAACAATACTTGTACTGCATATTTAGATTATTGGAAATACATTTCTCTGGAACAACATATAAAAAAATGAAAATAAAGTTTTAATTACAAAGAATTTATAATTGTTCTTACCACTATTTACTGTTTCCTGGTCAATCATGCCTCCTTCTGCAAAGCCATCTAAATCATCCACCTTAACTTTTTCCCAGGGTATATATGATACTCCAAGATCCACATCCCAAAACTGTTTGTATTCAGTTTTCACCCCTTTGTTTAAAGCCCATGCAATCTGAAAACAAAGCAAATTCAATGTGGTGAAAACAAAAGTACAATAATCTCTACAAGGCATCATAGCATTCTGTTTATTTTTACACAGCCTGATCGACAATTCATTTGCTGAATAGGACATACTTGCAGAACAGAAAAATGCAGTGTCCAAATATGTTATAATGATATGTTTTATTTGACATTAAAAGATCAATTCATCATAAAATTTCCTTTTTATAGAAAAGGAGGTATCCAAGTTATATAGCACAGAAAAACATAGATGATCTGTTGATCTGTAAAGAATCTTCCTGTGCTTGTCTTAAATTCTTTCAGTATATCAGCTTTTTCTGCCGTAAATGCAGCAGTAAAATTTTTTGAAGTTCTCAGTCCCAAAGAATTTGGACATTATTCTTCCCAATCTCAGGCTTACTGTTTACCCTAAATTTCTAGTTATATTTTACTATTTTACAGGACATATTTTTCCAATAAATATTTTGAACTCATTTTAATTTTTTCCTTTTCTGTTTTTTTAATAACATTTCCATTTAATTGGAGTCATTAAAATGCATTCTCCAGATGAATTCTTTCCTAGAAGCATTTTATTTTTTCCCAGTAATATAAATATTAAAATCTACACAACATAGACATAAGAATCTATACAGAAACTTATTTATTATATTTATATCCTGCCACAATCCCCTAAGAGAGAGAAAAAATAGGAATGCTTTTCTTTTCTTATTGCTCTGGAATAAGCTTGAACCTGGACAGCTTTGTTAGTTTCACTATTCACCTTTCACCTATGTTCCAGGCATCATTCCTGCTGCTTCATCTTCCAGAGGGCCACTAAAACCCAAGAAGTTGCCTAGATCCAGTGGAGTGAGGCCATTCAAGAGCAAGAGTCTGAGTTACTTCTTGCAAGTGGTGAGGTAGACAGTTAATTGATGGAGTCACCGATCTAGTGGACAATCCAAATAGACCTGATAACACAGTCTGTTGATTTAACTATGACAAAGGGGTAATGGTAATACCTTCCATATCCTCCAGATCATAAGGCAATTTCTCCAAAGCAAAAATTAGAACTAATTCATGGTCACCTGGAATCTTCATGAAACTCCTAGGTTTTCTCAAAACCCATTGTTTGGAAGTTAAAATTCCCCAATACCCATAGGTGCAGGAAACTCAATCATCAACCCAACAACCAGGCCCAGGAACCTTGGGACAGATCCAGATATAACAACAGCACCCCTAGTTTGTCCTTAGGCACAACTTAACACAAAGGCAGTCAAATCCTGCAAACTTCAAAACTCAAAAATCTTGGTCACAGGTAAGATCTCATAATATATCAACACCACCTTATCTTCCTGATCCTGGTACTCAGGCTGAGGCAGGACCCAAAACCTGGTTGGGCAAATTGTTGAAAGAAGGATATTGCTATTCTCAGTTAGGAGTGAGTAACACACACCAAATCTACTTGCCTGTCTATCACCAAATCATGAAAAGATGCTGCTTTATCGGGCCAAGTACTCTGATGATCTGACCACAAGGTCCCCATCATGGAGCTACTGGATTGGAAAAAAGAGACTACCACAAATCATCTGTCTCCTGAAAAAGTGAAGCCGATGCCTTCCACCATATTTCCCTTGGCTGAAAACACTGGTATTTGGCATATGTATTCTGTATTCTTCTCATCCAACCATCCTGTTCATCTAAGGCAAGCACTTATTTCATCCCAATTCTCACTAACCATCTTTCCTACCTAACCTATGCTTGGAGTTAACAATCTGGAAAATCACTCAGCCCACCTCCTAGCCCAACCCTACTTACACGAGACTCAACACATTCCAATTTCCAATAACATCCAACACATTCAACTCCCTTCTATGTGATTTGGAGATGAGTACAGTAGGCAGAGACTTCCATTGGTCCTGGACATTACTCCTTCACCACCTGATCCACATTCTTCTATTACTATTGTTAGATTTATGTACCACTATCCTTGCAAACTGATCAACTTATTATTATAACAAGCATATGAAATAGGATGAGAAACACGGTGTTTTGCTCGTCAACCAGTGAGTTTCTATGGCTCAGGATGGATCTAGTCCAAAATCTTAAGCACTAACACAGTGGCTTTCCTTCATTATATACAAATGCACATGATTATGATAATAAACTATAATTCATACTGCATATAAGCAGGACCACTGAAACTGTACCTTAATAATTTTAGATCCCATTTTGTAGGATCCAGAGCTTAATTTCTGAAGAGCACGGTAGGCATCTTGCCTATGAACCATGCAGACATATGCACAACCTCTAGGAGGGATCATCTATAAAATAAAAACAAGGGGAAAAGTAAAATTAAAACAGAAATTAATAACAGATTCAGAAAAACCTCTCGCACTAATAAATATTAGCAACCCCAATTTATTTTGTCATACCCCCATGCCATTCTAAATGATTTCCTAAAATTCAGGATGTTTTAAGAGACACAAATGGAGTAACAAAAAATATCTTACTGTGTGAATACAATTTATATTTCTCTGCATCCAGCCACACAACCTCTAAGTACTTTTGTTTTAAAATAGATCATATAAAGCTTCCTTTATGTAAAATAAAGAATTTATGTAAACTCAAAATTACCATTCTTTTTAAAAGTTACAGATTATTTTACTTACATTTATAGATTCTATTTGTCCAAATTCTTCAAATAAATTGGTTAAATCTTGCTGTGTGGCTTTCTTGTCCACTTGACCAACCCAAAGCGTGGTACTGCAGACTGCCACAATAAATTAATGGCAAAGGTTTATATTTCATTCATATAATTTGTCATTTATCATCACTACAATCTTTTATTGTCACAGAGGAAAAGACAAGCTGAAACAATTTACAACTTGCCCACATGTAGAAATCAATACAATTATTTAATTTAAAGCAGTGGAAATGGAAAATCTCAACTGTCTTCCAAGAAGTGAATAGCAGGATAACAAAATCCTGAAACACTAACTTTTTATGAAAGCTATATATAAATAAGAATATTTAATGCATATAAAAAGCAGAGACATGGGGAGAATACAGAAATATTGAATACAGTAATATGGTTATTACTACTGTAGTGATTAACAAAGGAATCAAAATCAATACTCAAACAGAAATATGTTTGAAATAGCAGGTGATGCCATGAAAGAGGGAGTAGTAATCTTTAATTCTTCCTTCCTCTTAGAAACCAACTTATTAACTTCAAAACCTTTCTTGAAACTCCTCCAACAAGTTATGGAGAGAAGAATACAACTCCCATCCCCACGTTACAGGAAAAAAAAGGCAAATATTATAAGAATATAGAAAACTATAGTAGACATACCACTGAATATTTATGAGCAACATATTCAGCTTCGTGCAATATATTTTTAAGAAATGTTTTTAAAATGCTTTCATTAACTTTAGTTAAATGTATCTTAATAATACATCCAATTTATTGAATTATTACAATAAAAATGTATGTTTATAACAAATCTTGGCAGAAAACTTTACACCATGCATATATTTTTAAAATATTCTGTGCAGACAAACTAACAAAATGTATAGAAATGGCAAGTAACCAATCATAGAAAAATTTAAATTTAAGTGAGCTTAATAATATTTCTCCCAAAGTAAATATCGAATAGAATAAGCTAAGTCCCAGAAATAGCAAGCAGCTCTTAATTCTGAGTTGACCCTGAAACCTAGAAAGTCTCACTAGATTTAACAGTACTATTTAGGACAGTGCTCATCTTTCTACAGAATAACACCTCTTTTGTGGGCTGGGATCTCTAAGGTTAATAATAATAGTCAGCAGTAATAGTTCTGTTTCTCCAGTTTCTCCCTGATGTTTAAATTCTAGAGAGTGTTATCCCAAAAATCAAACTATTCTGCCTACTATAGTGGATCATGCTGAAATTTATCTCAAAAACAATTTGAGTGGTAATGTAATTTTAATGAAAGGAAATACAGACACTGAGAATCTCAGTATGAAAATGTACTACAAACATTTCAGAAAATATCCATACAAATAATCAAATAAACCAGATCATACATACCACTTAGTGTTTTTGATCGGATAGGAGGTAACCCTTTTTTCTGTCTTTCTTTTTCCCTTTCTCTAGCTCTTCTTTCACTTGAGTATGACCTTGATGACTTCCTCTTTCTTTCTCTTGATCTAGAACGTGAGCGCTTTCTGTGTTTACGCTTTCGAGAACCAGACCGTGATCTTGACCTTCTTTTTCTTGGTGACCTATAAAATAATCAGTTAAATTATGTTAATGTAAAACATAAAGTTCATAAGAGAAACAAAATAGGGGTTTTAAGCATGAAGACAAATATCTTTGTAATAAAGTTACAAAAACCTTGAACGTGATCTTGAGCGTGTTCGTGATCTTGAAAGAACAGCTGGTTTCTTTTCTTCTTGTTCAAAGACTTCTTGTTCTATAACCTCCTGGGCTTCATCTATATCCATGTCCTAAAAATAGGGAAGAAATGAGATGCCAACATATTGGAAAATGTATTCATTCTTATCTATATTTGCTTATGGAGGTTTTTTTCGTATATTCCTGAAGACATCAGTTTGTTGTAGGAAAATCTTCTTACTCAATGTTGTCTTTACTGTGCTCATGGACAGAGTATCCTGGTCTCCAACAAATTATATTATGACATCAAAACTAATGTTAATCATTTACATTCCCAGTAAATTAGGCCACCTTGAGATTACAGATAGTATATAGTGTTTATTTTACAATTTTGTGATCTACTAAATTCATAATTTAAATAGAAATACTAAATTTTACCTGTTGTTGAACATCCATTGAATTGTCAAGCTTTGTTTCCACTTCTAAAAACTGTTGGTGACTGCTGTCTTGTGAAGGTGATGCTGAATGCTCAGAACCAAAATTTTCTTCTTGAGTTTCCTCAGGGCTTACCTGCAGTGAAAAGGGTTTACATTATTTTTTTAAGCCTCAAACTTGCAACACATGTCTGTTTGTTGGTCGGTCGGTCGGTCTGCCTGCCTGCCCCCCCCCCTCCCCCCACAGGTTCCAATAACTAGTACATAATTTGTATTATGGAATATGTTTGGAATTTTGGATAATATCAACAAGCAAGCAAACAAGTGTGCAAAATTCAGTTCTTTATTTCAAACCACAGCCCTGGAACTACAGTTCAAAGAAATGTTAGGAATAGAAGTTAAAATGCAAATATAAACAAGTGAAGTATAAGCAAGTGTTATACTGAACAAAAAAAGGGGGGGCGGGAGAAGGAAAAGGAAGCTAATGCTGAGGGGAATTCAAGATGGCAACACAAATATACTTTTTTTGAATGTCTAAAGTAACAACATGTTGTTTCAAAAAAAATTGGAAATCTAAGGCCATGTGGTTAGTTTAGAAATTTTAATAAATGCAATATTTCCAAAAGTAAGAAAAATAATATACCTTTGATGGCTGCTGATCTAGAAGCTGCTGCCGAAGATGTTCAAAGTTTTGTTGCTGTAGATGTTCAGCTAACTGATGAAAAAGTGAGTTGTTCACGGATTCAGATACAAGAGGCCTAAAATACATAATTTAGTACAGTTACCCTATTGTTTATAGTAACTGTATAAATACATTCAGAATTCATTACTTAAAGAATATATCAGAGCTTTGTGGAACCAGAATTTGGTGTTCTCGCAAAATGTGGTGAGAATAGGAAGGGACAAGAAGACTAGCTTGATCTAATGGGATTATAATGGAATTCAAACATTGTTGTAGGTCATATTGCACTTTATGTGGTAGGGAGAACCCAATACTGTGACTTTTAAACAATAGTTCATAGATTTAAATATTGAATGAACCCAACTGTTCATTTAAGAAATTATGGTTTATCCTCAGCAACAGCTCTCTCCTCCCTTTTCCCCCTTTCTTAGGTGTAAGAAAATGACTTAAAAGAATATTTTAGTAAGATTAAAATGTACTTGAAATCTCAAGTAGGGGAAGTCTGGCCTGTCTGAAAATAATTTAAAAACTAAACAATTAAAAAAATATTTCCATAACTACTTCTCCATCACCACTTAACATCAAAAATACTCCAAAACTATTTTGCATAGGTGAAAAGCCTCTGGATTAGGACAAGCAATTAAAACCAGACAAGTTGGGTTTAACTGCAGATTTACTTTGCAAATAAGTTCAAATTAAAATATAAAATGAGGTACTTCCAATAACAAATTAAGACTTACAATTGAGAAGTTGGAGTTTCCTTTTTGGGCTCTTCATTCAAATCAGCTTCTTCTCCGAAATCTCCAAACCTATCTATCAGCTTCTAGGAACAAGCAAATTATGCATTAAAAAGGCATTGTTGAACAAGAAAAGTATTATTTGAAATAAAAGATTTCTATTAGATTTTTTATGCTTTAGATATATGTATATATTAACTGTAATGAATAAACTATAACTATGATACGAATGTACAAAACATTCTTTCTAAAGCAATGCCTTTTGTCTTGCTTATATGTGTTACCACAGATCTAAAATAATCACATAAATATAAAAATCAAAATATACATACTTAATTGGGATCACATTAATTGATGTACATTATCTATATGTACCCCAAAGACATGACTTGGGTTACTAAAATTAGAAATTATAAGATAGGCTTTGATAAAACGACAACTACACATCATTTAGAACTGCAAGTTTAGTTCCCAATAGAACACCAAGAATTGCAAAAACAGGACAAAAAAAATTACAGTAATATTGGTCAACTGATTGTGAAAGAGAAAATTCATATCAGTTACTACATAAATGGAGTATTGTTATTACTGTTATTGTATTCATTTAGTTATGATCCAGATAATACAGAAGCATTGACACATACAACAAAAACAGTGTATCAATCTCTTTAATTTTTATCCCTTTGAGTCATTTTTTTTTATTTCTGGCAACTCCCTGGATTAGTCCCTGTAGTTTTCTTGGCAAGATTTTGGAAGTGGCTCCTTCCTAGGGCTGAGAGAGAGAATGCCTGGCCCAAGTTCACTCAACTGACTTGGTGCCTAAGGTGGGACTAGAACTCAGTTTCCTGGTTTGTCGCCTGGTGCTTTAACCACAATACCAAACTGGTGTATCAGTCATATACAGGAGTGGTTCCAATCTTTGCAGCTTGGTGGCTTGGCTGGGAGGTGGGGGAGGAACTGGGCCACACAAGCAGTGGGCCGGCATGCATGCTTGTGAGTGCCCTTCAGCCCTCCACTTGTGCAAGTTAAGTTGCACGTGTGCATGCCGGCCAGTCCTTGTGGGGCCCAATTCTGAATATGCCATGTCCCGGTTGTGGGCCATGGCCCAGGGGTTAAGGACCCCATGATAAACAGCATATTAAACTAAGATTTAAAAGAAAAAACAGATAAAGCAAATAAAACATAACGTACATAAAACAAAAAGTACAAAATAAACAAAAAAAGTAGAAGATTTCATATTGTTACCACTCCATGATCAGAACATCTCTAATCTTCTTATGGAAACTGCTACAGATAGGAACGCAGCAACTCTACTACTCAGCAAGTTTTCAATCTGAGAGTTAGAAATGAACCTTTTTCCTTCATAACCAAGTTGCTTTTAGTTAGATATATAGATAAATTACCACAGAAAAAGAGTATGACTAAGGGTCTCAGGCTCATTTAGTGAATGGAATTCCACTGTATTTCCCATCTAACACTGCAAAGAGAAAATCACTGAAATGAGTCAAACTGTGGAGGACTTAGTATATAACTTTAATCAAATATTTTGTTCAGCAATCTTATGAATAACTACCTTGTTAAAAGAGACACTCTGTTCTAGTGGATTGAGTGTATTGGCAGCGGCGGCAGCAGCCGTAAGTTGAGCAGTGAGAGCCTGTAGCTGAACAACGAGACCAGCATCCAGTGCTTGAAGCAATGATGGTTGTGGTTTCTGTTGTTGCATCTGCAATGTCTGTATTAACTGCTGAAGCTGAAATGGAGTTCGGAAGAAGATAGTTTTGCTATAAATAAAATCTGAAATTAAGCATCAATTCTAGCACTGCTTTGAAAGATGGGACAAAATATCCCAAATCAAAACTTCAATTCCAAGCACATAATTCCTAATTATAAATTTTCAAAATGTTTTGTAAAATATAAGCAATATTCAATGTACTTACAAAAGAAACAGGATGGAAATGCATGTCAAAGTGATAATCAAAGAGAGCATTTTGGCACAGATGTCTGGTGAAGACATGGTGAAAGTGCAGGGATGTTGTTTGCAGCAGAAATCAGTGTCCAAATGTATTAAGATTGATGGATGGATAGAGATAGATAGAGCTCATCATAGCTGCTCCTTGTGAATAGACCATAGGAAATTTTAGTGGTCAGCATATGCGAGCAGCTGGGAGTTAAGAGATTCCATCTAAGCTCATAGTTGTTTATAGATATAATATTTAGTTCAGTTCTTAATCGCTTTTGGAATTATTTTTTACTCCTTTTTAAATATTTTTCCCAGAATGGGTAAGTTTTCTTGTTAACAAAATTAGTTTCAGGTACAAGTTTAATAATTTGGGAAAAAATACTTTTTGGGAATAAACAGCCAAAGTATTTAGACTGATTCTGGAAAGTTAAAAAAAGACTAAGAGTCCAGAAGGATTTGAAATAAGATTCTGAAATTAATTATAAGAATCATTCTTATGGGAAATTGTTGTTTAGATTCCTTAGGAAAAAAACATGAAAAAGTGGGAGTTTGAAAGCTGAATACTAGAGAAAGCTAAAAGAAACTAAAAATTACAATTAAAGAAGAATACTAAAATGTCAATTTGCTAATTCAGAAGGGAGCAAAATATTTTAACACTGGATATTATCAAGGATACTTGTGAACAATGGACTCAGAAGTTTATTTTAAGAATGTTATCAAAGATAGGTAGTGTATAGATATTACAGAGAGGAACAAACTCTACCGGCAAGACTGAAATTGATTTGAATGTATTTAAAAATGACAAACTATAAGAATATGGAAAAAGATGATAAAACTGGATGTACAAATGAAACCAATCGAAGTGCTAATAATTTAAAAAGACATAAAAATAACAAGCTAATGAAATAACTTTTTCTACACTAGATTTAGAAAAGGGAATTGTTAAGGTTTGAAGGAATTTTGAAGAAGGGAAAAAATGAAAAGAAATCAAGTTCTAAAACACTATTTGAAGGAATTAAAAATCAAGGTTGTTATAGTTACAGGGAAAGAATATAAGGTTGGTTTATTTGATTGAAGTTAAAACAGATACATTATTATCTCTAGCAACTCTTTAATGGCTTTTGCTGACCAGGACTGAACAAAGATATTTTAAGATTTTGTTTACAATTAAGAGATAAGGTATGGGAAGACGACAACATTTGTTGTATTTTAAGAGATGATAAATTATTAAAATTGTTTGTACTTGTGATGATGGGGGGAGTTACTTATTTATATACTTCTCTCCTCTCCTTTCTCTTTCCTTTCTCTTTTTCTTTATTTTTTCCTTTTCTGCACTTCCAATTTTTCTCTTTATTCTTATATATTTTAGTTTGCATTATTTTTTATCTTTTCGATGACATCTTCAATAAAATTAATACAAAAAAATAAATTTTGGCATAAAAGGCATCAAGACAAGTGTTCATATTCAATATTTATTATTGATTGATTGATATTCATATTATTTGCTTTAAAAAACAGAAATAGTAAAAAATTATAAATGCAAAACTAATTGAAATTAGTTTTTAACTTTTCAACAGCAATTTAAACTATATGAAGCAGAGGAGCAGAATTATGTATTTGTAGGTGGAGATCGGGCGAAAATGGACGTATTACCTGTTGACCTTGTGGACTCTGCAGGATCTGTGCTACAGCAGCAAGCGTATCTGTATTAGTTATCTGAGATACCCATGGATCAGGTAAACTTTGGATTACATTGGCTGGAGTAGCGGGAGTTACTGGAGTTCCTGAAAAGAAGATAAGCAGCTATATTTAGATACTGTTGGAAAGAAGTAGAAAATAGCAAGAGATTAATCACATTTGTATTTTATCTAATATATTCTTAGATTAGATTACTTTAACTGGGTGACTTTGGAACAATCATTCTGTTTCAGCCCAACTTACTTCACAGGATTTTTTAGGTAAAACAGCTTATGAACTTATATGTTGTAGAATATGCTGACCCCTAATGGCTAATGTGGAAATATACTATTTTTCTGGAAAAATAAAGTTCTTAAAGACACTTTTAACTTGAAAATGATGTTGAACTTAACCATCTTCATTAGACATGTATGTGTATGTCTTAACTCTGGACTCTTCTGACTGATATTGAATTATAATCTCTTTTTCTACCAATAGAAATCTCACAAGTAAATATTAACCAATTTAAGTATTCATTTCATTCAAATCCTTATAGAAAGACTTTTTTCCCCATTTCCCCCTTATAATTCCCTCTCATAGTTACGGTGCACCTTTCAAAAGACCAGACATAAAATATTAAAAAGCTATACAAAAAATAAATAAAGTAAGTCCCTATCCAAAGAAACAAAATAAAAAAACCAGAACTCTGAATATATGCTTCTGTATACCTATCAGTAAATAATACATTTCAACGAAAAATATATACGTATCAGGAAGAAATGTAACTGCAAAAAAGTAATGCAACAAAAATCTATTCTTGCAAATTTAAAAGGAAAGTTGTTAAACATGGATGTTTGTCATGGATGTAAAACAAATAGATAATGTTGGGTTCTTGTTACCTGGTGTATTATTACTCAAAGTAGCAGTTGTCCCTGGCAAAACAGGAGTCACAACTGGAGGAGGAATTCCTGCTGCCATATCCAATAGAGGCTGGATAATTTCACTTTTGAACACATTATTCTTCTGCCACAAATTGAGCACTCTAACAATTTTACTCTAGGAAGGAAAGAGATAACATTTAATATTAAACTTTATATCATATAAATTCCTATTCCAAGTTAAACAGCTTTTAAAATAAAACTACTGAGGCTATATTCAATATTCCTTATCATGGTTATAAGGATCAGGAATGTGTTGTGGATTTCAGTTCTCTTTTTATACTAGGACTGGAAATCATGAAACTTCAATATTATTTGTCATAGAGTAAGCAGACTAGTCCAAAATTCTGTTTATTACTCAAGAACATCACTTTCCTCTTATTTTCTTCAATTGATATAATTAACCACTATTTTCTATCCTGTCTCAATCAACTACTATATTTCAGTCAACACTACTGCTAAGATCTAAACTATGATTTGACATACTCATCAAACCATGATCTGGAGATAAACCATAATCAATTGATTACATTCAGACATCATAATCAATTATAGTTACCAGTCAAAAAAATGAATGAGGCAAACAAGAAGGTAGATTAGTAAACAGCTGATGGTACATTTCAGTCCCTATCTGCAAAGAAGATGCCTTCTCCAGTCTTAGAGAATAAAAAAATAATCTATGTCAGTGGGTCCCCAATCTTTATGGCTTGGCAGCCTGGGGGGGAGGGGAGGGGAATCGGCCCACCACTGGCACATGTTGAGCTGTGCGTGTGCTCCAGCCAGCTGCTCGCACAGCTTGGTTCCGAACAGACCATGGCCGGATAGTGGGCCGTGGTCTGGTGGTTGGGGATCCCTGATCTATGTGACACAATGAACAGACTTGTTCAATTTGGATTAGATTTCCTCATTTTATTCCTATGAATGCATTGAATGATTCTAGTGATTCTATTTTGTATCTAGTGATTCAGATTCTGAATCTTCTAGCAATGGCCACAAAATTCTTAGAAAGTAAGAACAAAAATGAATTCTATTATAGGGAGTGATATGTGAACTGCTGCAAAAAACTATTCTTTCCAAAAGAAGTAAGAATGTGTTTATGCCAAAAGTACTTTATTATATTGGACTGAGAATTGGGTAGGTCAAGGAAAACATAAAAGTTGAATCTATTGGGACTAAGTTCCTTATGAAGGATATCTGTGATATAACTAAAAAGATGAGTAGTGAATTAATATGGACTGGCAGTGACCATTATGAAAATACATTGAGATAGTTTGGTCATACAGGAAGAATTAATGAGACTGAAACTGCACAATTAATACAAGTTGGATGATGTTATATACCAAAAGAAAGGTGAAGAAAATTGTGACTATAATAAATCGATGTGTTCTTAAGAAAGAAATGAGAATTTTTTTAAAAAATGTAATATATAAAATATAATAAAATACAGCAGTGCAGAAAGATATAGACAAATACAGTGAATGGTTTAGCTACATCTATTTTTCTTTTTCTCTTTAATCTCATCTCTTTTTTTCTTTTGGTTTATTATTTCTTATTCTTTTTCAGTACTCTGCATAACAATTTTTAAACCCAAGAAGGCATGCACAGTACTTTCTCCCAATTCACAAATAATATTTATCTATTACTCAGGAACATTGTCAAGTAAAAAATACATTAAAAATTGTAAAATTATATTTTTAATGTAAACTGAAGTAATTGATTGGGGAAAGAGTGAAATGTAGAAGAATCCATACCTTATCATCCCCAGGGCAACGATATAAATTCTGGAAAGTGCTAATGATGTTATTGCTAAACCGAGGAGCAAAGACATCCTTTTCTTGTCCAAACTGATGCCGAGACTGTCGTACAATCGAGTCAATGACATATAAACCAGGCACCTTGTATTCTGGTTTACACTACATAGAAATACAATAAGAATACAAATTTCCTATAAGATTTATTAGCTAAGCTATAGAAATTATGAATGCTCAAAAAAGAATACCTGTATGGTATTGTTTTATATTACAATGTGTCATGCATATAGTGTGGTATAATCATTTGTTGGAAAATTTCAATTGCTTAAACTTCATTTATATAAAGATAATAAAAACTAAATATTTTTAGGGAAATTACCTTCATTTTGATGTTAACAGTTGGAATATTCAAAGTTTTTTAATGATTTAAATAATAACACAGCTAGTCGTAGAGAACAGAGCAATTTCTCAGAGGCATGACTCTACTAATATGTACTTTGTGAAGAAGTTATAGGCACCAGCTGGTATTATGGGGAGGGGGGTAAAATTAAGACAAAACTCAATACCAGTGGGGAGGCTTTAACTCTGGAAGAAACAAAAAACATTGTCAACTCATTCTTACTGGTTAAAAGTCCAAGCACTGAGAGTGAAAGTCAGAGTCCTTTAGAGTTTTTGCTCTAATGTTTGTGGCAGGGATGGATTCCTGCAGGTGGCGTAGCCACTGTCGGGAAGTTCAGGTGAAAAAGGATGCAGCCATAGCTGCCTAATGGCCCAGGCATCCGCCTGGTGCGCCCTATGGAGTGCTAGTTCCACCCTCTTGTCCTCCGGCCTTAATGCATCTTCTGCCTCACTGGCCTGAATGGTTGTAACAGCACGCTGGAGAAAGGAGTAGTACCAAACAAAGTAAGGTTCACAGTTCACTGTCACCCACAGAGATCTATTTTATGGAGTATTTCAAACTTGCATAAGACTCATGATATGCCACCGGCACCTCTACTTACTTGATGTAAGTCTCCTGCAATTGATACTTTAGCTTGGACACTCTAAGCTTTTGGCTCAGTACAACCAAAATTTACCTCAAAATTTACCCACAGGTAGTCATTGCCACCTGTGCTCTTACAAAAAATGCTGTAAGATGGCTAGGCAATTCAATCTCATATGGATAATAAATGTCAAACCAATGGCAGGCTGAGGTTTACCGATTCTGATTCCTCTAAATGTTGCCATTCTATGGAACATGATTTATTTACTGTTCAAGTAGATAGAAGGGTAGCAAATGGCTGCACATGACATGGCAAGGTATTCAAAGATGCATTCTCAACCTCTGGAAAGGTGTTATTTAGTGCAGAGACAATCATCCGAGGCAGATTTGTGGCCCCTGTTCTGTTACTCTGAAAATGTATGGGTAAATTCCAAAGGAAGTTGAGCTTTTATTAAACTGAATTCATATAATATCCATAAAATAGATAAAACCCTTTATGATAAGCAAGCAATCATGGATGCTAGTTTTGTGACCCAAGGGATCCACTGGTTGCAAAGTAATCCATGTAAAGGAAACAATAGGTGAACTGAATCACATAAAGGACTCTTCATATTTCAACAAGCTATTCTGACTCTCAAACATGCTTGTCCTTACAACAGCTCCACAGAAGAAAAATAACCTATGCACCTCATCAGATTGTAAATTGTGAAACTATATCCAGTAACATTAATGCCTTTAATACTTTTATCTATATGTAAACATCTAGATTCATGAGTATTTAAATTACTAAAACTATGGTGTTTTGTTTGGTGACTTACCTTTTGAATGAACTTCTCAACACTCTGTACAACATGTTTGTAGAACTAAAAATAAAAATATATAATAGGTTTATTATTTATTTGATTATTTATTTATTAAACAAATTTATATAGCCATCCAACTGACATATTGGTTATACTCTGGGAAGCTTACAACATTTATATAGCTTCCACTAAATACCATCTTTCTTGTTTTAGCAATTTTCTGGTTAATGTGTGTTACTTAATTTAGTGAATGATACCCTCAAGACCCACATTTGGAAGATTTCCTACGCTCTATTTCTTTGTCTTTTTAAAAATATCCCTTTAATAGAAAATAGAGTTTAAGAACACAGTAAAAAAGGAATGGCTTCTTCTTTTTGACTAAATGCATGACCAAATACTAACATTATTTTTAAGGGGAAAGGGGAACACAGCAGGAAGGAAAAACATTTTACAGTTCTAATGGAAATCTCCCATTAAATAGGTATTTATTTTTGGCTTTTGTTCCCATTAATGACCCCTTTAAACTATTGATTACATCATTTATTTAATGTAAACAAAACCTTTTCATTTCATTTTCATTGTTTGTGTGAGTGTGTGTGCATGTATGTATTTGTATACGTACGTATGTATATCAGTATGTGTGTTGTGAATTAAAAGCCCCAAAATATTAGAGCTATAGGGATACATGCAATTGTCAACATTTAACATATTTCCAGACAAATTTCTTTTTTGCAGAAGAAAATAACACAAACAAAATGAAAACATATAACTATTTAAAGGTTCCACACATTAAATTTTAACCAACTGTAAAAAAAATTTAAATGGAAATTGAGGTAATGACCAGGATACCTGGGCATTGCTCTGCACTACCTACCTGAACCATTTAAAGCTAAGAAACGTTTGTAAGCTATATAATCATTTTCTTACCTTTATGGCCTTGATTGCTGCCTTAGTAATCTGTGTCATTTTAGCCTTTGAAATAGGAGGTTTGTAATCATTCAGCGAGTAAAGCTGAAAGAAAAGAGAAATTACTGTGAATATAAATGGAAAAAAAAATTAAAATTATGTAAGAACATTAGATCCACTAGTAATATTTTCATCAGATCAAAACTGAGCTTTAATTTATTGCAATTAATTACATCCATTATTGATACGGCACTTTCATGAAACTCAGGATGATTTTGCATTGATTGAGAGAATAGTATGGATCCCCAATTCAAAAATAGTAGCATTCTCCAGTTTCTGGAGGAGAACTATAGAATCTGTTAGTTTAAGTCTAGAACTGAAAAAAGCAGTAGGAGCTTTCCCCTTATCTTAACACTATCCCTTAAAAGAGACTGGTTTGGTAGAAGCAAGGCTAGCAAAATTTTTGTTGAATCCAAACTTAAAAGTCAAATGTGTCACAGTGAATCAAGAAATCATTTTCATTTTCACCTCAGGGATCACCAAACTCATAATTTTAAATCCCGTGGACCACTAATTTGAATTTTGACTGATGGTGGCGCAGGAAACTTTGGCCGGGCTCTCAAGAGATGAGAGTGACTCCGGCTGCTTCTCTCCGCTAAACCAGCAAAATTGTCTCTAAGTATCAACAGTGAGGTGTCACATAAAATGGTTCATTCTGTATTGTTGAATTTCTACTACTTATTGCCTCAGGTATTAAATAGTGTCACCTTGATTAGGAGGGGGAAACATTTACTGTTTTGCATTTCTTGATTATCAGAAGCCACTCTCCAACCAGTATAATAAAATGGAACTATTCTGCCATTATATTACAATTTCTCTTTCTCTCAACAACCTCTCTACCCCAACTATTATATTTATCAGCCTGCAATGGGGCCAGTAACATAAAATACAAGAAGACTTGCCAAAAGGCTCCGATTTTGTGATAGGGACCCACACCACAAATAAGTGAAACTCTTGATTCTTCCACGAGAGTCCACGGGAGAAAAAAAACCAAGGCAACACAAGGAACCAGGAATCTCCCCTTCAGACAAAGGAGTGGCCGACTGGATGCGGTTTTTCACCCAGTGCCCCGAAAGGACTCCAGAAGCTGGGCTTCGGTGCTCCCGATAGACACATAACAGGAGGCAGGGGGCGTGTCCTCGGCCAGGACTGCAAACAGGACACCCAGGAGCTGGCAGGATTTATGAGAGGGGAGAAAGCAGCAGCGGTGGCAGAGGGAAGGTTTTCTTCCTCCTTTGTGGAAGCCCCTTCAGGCGCCGCCTCTTCCCTTCCAGCGCTGCCTCCAGCGCCGATTGGAAGTTCAGCGCTTCTGAATGGAGTGCTTCTCTGGCTGCCGCGCTTTGGTGATGGGTGCAGGCAAAGGTAGCGTCCTCGGGGCTGCGCCGCTGGAGCAATGCTGGAGCTTCGGGGATGAGCCACCTTCCCCCACCCCGGGTTAGCAAGGTGCAACAATGTTGTGCTCCCCTTTGCACAGGAATTCAGCCAAGCTATTTGCAAAATTGTCTCTCTTGAGGAGCACTTGACAGTTTGCAGATATCTTGGCTGCCTGTTAGTGGAGAGTCACTCTCATCTCTTGAGAGCCTGGCCAAAGTTTCCTGCGCCGCTCATGCTTCAATGCTTTGATTCCCAGGGGCAGGAGTTTGGCCAAGCTACCTGCAAAATCCCACCCCTGAATTGTGCCCTGCGAGGGGCCCACCTCCAGCGCCCCCTACCTCTGAGCACCCCCCTAAGGCATCCCACCGGCCCCCAGGGGGCAGTACCATCCACTTTGGGAACCACTGATCTAGATGCATTACAACAGTGGTCCCCAACCTTTTTTGTACCAGGGACCGGTTTCAAGCAGAAACATTTTTTCAAGGACCGGGGGGGGGGGGGGG